AAAATAGATAGTAATGTGGATCTAGAGGTTGATGACAATGGCAATTCGCTGTTCACGTTATTTTCCTGATGCAAAAGAGATGTGATGGTCAAGGTGGTGGCAGCAGACAGATGACCTCTGGAAGGCCTTCAAGTGAAGTTTGGAAGGGAGCCTGTGGTTGTCCAATTTTTTTACACAAAATTATAGAAAACAAATGAGAGCTTTAAAAAATGTTAGGTCACTATTATATTTAATGTATCATTCATTGAAAGGCTTTTGGAAATACAGGGCATAGACAAAATATTAAATAACACCATGAGAGGGGAACATAGGACAACCCACACGACAACTAGTCTGGATACCTGAAAATATGGTGTCATGAAAGATGGGAAACTGTTGTAGAATAGATGAATATAGCACCAAATACAATCATGAAACTTGGTTAAAAAGAGTTTCTAATATATTTCTTTTTTTTTTATAGAGGCATGTTTTTATTTATTTATTTATTTAATTTGTTTGTTTGTTTTTGTTATACATGCACTGGGTACAGTCAGAAGCGTGGGAGGGTGAGAGAATTCACCAGAGCCAGAGCGGAGAGCAGAGCAGGTCTAATATATTTCTTATAGCAAGTAGTTAAGTGCATTTATAAAAGTAACTCAAGTGTGAATGCGTGTTTCACACAAAGTTGAAGAAAACTAGAGAAGGATAATCAATGTGATTTAATAGGGAATGGGTTTTACCAAATATTGTGGATTTCTTTTTTTTTTAAGATTTATTTATTTATGCATACAAGAACTGGGATACAGGCCAGAAATGTGGTGGGGGTGAGAGGATTCACCAGAGACAGATGGGGAACAGAACAGGCAGATCTATTGAAATATACTGCTGAGGGGAGCAGCAGGCTAGGTAGGGAGGTCTGCTGCACCATGTGGTCACCTTCCTGGCTGGGGATCGAACTCCTGCTGCAGTGGCTGTGGATTGCTTCATAGTGCTGTGGCTTAACCCCTTGCTCCACCAGGGAGGCCCCAGGAATTCTTAATTTTGTCAAGATGATAGTAGCATTGTGATTGTTTAGGAAAATGTCCTTATATTTAGGAGACATCTGCTGAAATATTTAGAGGTGAAGTGTGAAGAATCAACAAAAAAAGGAGTATGTATGCATAGAATAAAATAGGAAAAATGTGGCAAAACAAACAATTCTAAACTTTGGCTGGAGGACAGAGTTATGTTTATACAGTTATTTTAAACTTTTCTGTTTATCTGAAGCATTATAAATATTTTTAATTAATAGACTTAGAGCAATTTTTGGTTTTACAGAATATCGAGCAGATAGTACAGAGTTCCCATATACACACTTTCTCCTATTCACAGTCTCCCTTCATATTAACATCTTGCATTAGTCAGGTACATTTGTTATATGTGATGACCCATTGTTATGAAAATGTGCAGACTGATGAAAAAGTCTGTGGTTTATATTAGGGTTCACTCTTTGTGCTGTGTAGTTCTATGGGTTTTGACAAATACATAAATGGCATGTGTCCAGTATTACTGTCCCATAAATAAAATTTTCTGTGCCCCCCCAAATTTTTTACCTCTCCTTCCCTCGCCAAAAACCCCATTAATCTTTTTCTTTTTTTAAAAAAAAATTATATGCATACAAGAACTGGGGTACAGGCCAGAGGTGCAGGGCAGGGGGCATAAGAGTGTTCACTAGAGACAGAGCGGGGAACAGAACAGGCAGACTGACTGAAATGCACTGCTGAGGGGAGCAGCAGGCAAGACAGGAGAGGTCTCATGGGCCATGGGGTCAGCTCCCAGCCAGGATAAAACTCATGCTTCAGTGGCTGGCGATAGCTTGATATCATGCTTTAACCCCTTCACACAAGGGAGGCCCCCACTGATCTTTTATTTTTTTAATTTATTTTTATTTATTTATTTATTTTTGGTGGGACCCTCGCCAGTGGCCGGGGATCAAACTGGTGCTGCAGAGGCTGCGGGCAGCCTCGCAACACAGCACTCAACCACTGCGCCACCAGGGGAGGCCCCCCCCCCATTGATCTTTTAAATGTATTTTACCTTTTTTTTTTTAAAGATTTATTTTTATTTATTTATACAAGCACTGGGTACAGTCAGAAGCACAGGAGGGTGAGAGAATTCACCAGAGCCAGAGTAGGGAGCAGAACAGGCAGAAGGACCGAAGCACACTGCTGAGGGGAGCAGCGGGCGGCAGGAGAGGTCTGCGCGCCATGTGGGACCCTCCTCCAGTGGCCGGGGAGCAGCAGGGGATTGAACTGGCGCTGCAGAGGCTGTAGGCAGCTTCGCAACTCAGCGTTCAACCGCTGCACACCGGGGAGGCCAATGTATTTTACCTTTTCCAGAATATCAGGTAGTTGCAATTACAGAATGAATGTGTAGCTTTTCAGACTGCTGCTTTTGTTAAGTAACAAAAATTTACTTTTCCTGCATTTCTTTTGTAGCTTTACAGCACATTTCTTTTTTTTAAATTTATTTATGCACACAAGAGCTGGGGTATAGGCCAGAGGTCCAGGGGGATGGGGGGGTGAAGGGTGGGGGTAGGGTGAGGGTGTGTGAGAGGATTCACCAGAGACAGAGTGGGGGGCAGAACATATGGATGGACTGGAATACACTGCTGAGGGGAGCAGTGGGCTAGACAGGAGAGGTCTGCTGTGCCATGTGAGTCACCTCCCTGGCGTGGGATCAAACTCATGCAGCAGTAACTGCAGATTTCTATGCAGTGCTGAAGCTTAACCTCCTGCGCAAGCAGGGAAGCCTTACAACACATTTCTTTTCAGCAAAAAATATTTTTAAAACACAAAAGGACAGAAAAATTTAAAACTTAACAACAAATTGTAATACAGATACTTTGACATCTGATTTAACAAATATTCTCTAAATGACATTTTAAAGATATTTGAGAAATCACATCACTTGGTATTTAATATAAAAATTGCTAACGTTGCTAGGTGTGATCATTGAATTGAAGTTGTTTTTTTTTTTTTAAAAAGATATATTTATTTTTATTCAAGAACTGGGGTACAGGCCAGATGCGTGGGAGGGTGAGAGGATACACTGGAGACAGAGCAGGAACAGAACAGGCAGACTGACACAAATACACTACTGAGGGGAGCAGCGGACATGACAGGAGAGGTCTGCTGCCCCATGTGGGATTCTCTCCGGCCGTCCAGGATCAAACCCGTGCTGCAGAAGCTGTGGACAGCTTCACAGTGCGGCGTTCAACCGCCTGCGCCACCAAGGAGGCCCAGTTTTGTTTTTTAAAAGCTTACTTATTAGAAAGGAAAATAAAAGCCTCTCTGGTAGCACAAGGGGTTAAGACACAACCTTTGAAGCTGTCTGCAGCCTCTGCAGCACAAATTCGATCTCCGGTCTGCAAGGGAGCTACCCACATGGCACAGCAGACCTCTCCTGTATCACCTGCTGCTCCCTCAGCAGTATATTTCAGACAGTCTGCCTGTTCTGCTCCCTACTCTGTCTCTGGTGAATCCTCTCACCCCCTACACCTCTGGCCTGTACCCCAGTTCTTGTATGCATAAATAAATACATCTTAAAAATTAAATTAAAGAGGATAGAAATAAAACTTAAAAAAGAAATTTAAATAAAAATAGCACTACATTCAAAAGAATGTACTACTTTTGGAGGTTTTCATGTTGCTCAAATGCATCAGATTTCAGGAAAATGTGAGGTGGGAGCAATGCAAGAGAGAATATGAGTAAAGAGACTATTTCAGCGTCCATGGGAGTGTTCTCATTTGAATGCTGTGTTTTCCCTGGATCTCTATACTTTTCCATTGGACTTGAGTTTAAAGATGGTAACCTAACCACCACCAAACTGCCTACGTGCCCAACATCTGAATAAAACTGAGAACCTTCTAGCCAAAGCCTTCTTTCTGCTCATCCTAGGACTGAAGATGCTCCCCACAGTTTCTGTGCTGATTTTTTCCAGTTTAAAAAAAGACATTTGATTTTGTGAGGAAACTGGAATGGAAATTTGTCTATGATTTGTATGTCATCATGGATGCAATGAAAAGGTCTTTCGAAACGTAGATGAGACTTCCATACATTGACAGGCACTACTTGAAAATATTCCATTTAGATTGCCAGCTGCCTAAAAGGATTGGGATTTTCTTAATGTTTGGGAGGAAATGTACGCTGAGAAAGGACGCGGGGTGGCGCTGCAGCCTTAGAATTCGAAGGAAGAAAATACCATCAGCCCGCGCTCCTCCAGCCAGAAGCTTTCTTAACGCAGGGAGCTGGAAGGGAGGCTTCCTAAGATGGTCGCTCCGGGTGTCAGGGCCCTAGGCAGCTCCACTTCACCCACAATCTTTGAGATACCGGGGGGACGCAGTCAGCGAAAAGCGAGCCCGAGCTGGGCCAGGTTTGCTGGGAGACCAGGCGCGATGGAGACCGGAGAAGGAAAGGAACTCTTTCTGAAACAAAGGCAAGTCTTGATATTCTTTGTTTTGCTGGGCGTAGCTCAGGCTGGTTCGGAGCCTAGACACTACTCAGTGGCCGAGGAAATGGAGAGTGGCTCCTTTGTGGCCAATTTGTTAAAAGACCTAGGGTTAGAGGTAGAGGAGCTAGCTGCGCGGGGGGCCCGGGTCATTAACAAAGGGAAAAAAATGCATTTACAGCTTGATAGGCACACCGGAGATTTGTTATTAAATGAGAAACTGGACCGAGAGGAGCTGTGCGGCCCTACGGAGCCCTGCATACTACCTTTCAGGTGTTACTGGAAAATCCCTTGCAGTTTTTCAGGCTGAGCTACAGATTAGGGACATAAATGACCATCCCCCGGTTTTCCTAGATCAAGAAATAATTTTGAAAATTTCAGAAAGTATCACTCCCGGAACTACTTTCTTAATAGAACGTGCCCAGGACTTGGATGTAGGAAGTAACACTCTCCAAAGTTACATAATCAGCCCCAATTCCCACTTTCATCTTAAATTACAAGACAGTCCTGACGGCATAATACCACAGTTGGTGCTGGACAAACCACTAGATCGGGAGGAACAGTCAGAGATCAGGTTAACCCTCACGGCGCTGGATGGCGGGACTCCACCTAGGTCTGGTGCCGCCCTGGTCCGCATTGAAGTCTTGGACAGCAATGATAATGCCCCACAGTTTGCAAAGCTACTCTACGAAGTGCAGGTCCTAGAAAACAGTCCCATTGGATCCCAGGTTGCCATTGTCTCTGCCAGGGATTTAGACATCGGTGTCAATGGGGAAATATCTTATGCCTTTTCCCAAGCCTCTGAAGACATTCGCAAAACTTTTCGAATAAATGCAAAATCGGGAGAACTCCTTCTAACAAAGAACCTGGATTTTGAATCCATCCAGACTTACACATTCAATATTCAGGCAACAGATGGCGGGGGGCCTTTCTGGAAGTTGTGCAGTCTTTGTGCAAGTGTTGGATTTGAATGACAACCCCCCGGAATTGACCGTGTCAACACTTAACAATGAGATCTAGAAAACTTGCAAGAGACCATAATTGCTGTATTCAGTGTTTCAGATCCTGACTCCGGGGACAAAGGAAGGATGGTCTGTTCCATCCAAGATGATCTTCCTTTCGTCCTTAAACCCTCTGTAGAGAATTTTTACACCCTAGTGACAAATACAGCGCTGGACCGAGAGCTAACATCGGAGTACAACATCACGATCACGGTCACGGACTTGGGGACCCCCAGGCTGAGGACCCAGCACCACATCACCGTGCTGGTGTCCGACGTGAACGACAACGCCCCCGCCTTCAGCCAGAGCGCCTACACGCTGCTGGTGCGCGAGAACAACAGCCCCGCGCTGCACATCGGCAGCGTGCGCGCCACCGACGCCGACGCGGGCTCCAACGCGCAGCTCACCTACTCGCTGCTGCCCGCCGGCCGCGCGCACCCGCCGCCCGCCGCGCTCGTGGCCGTCAACGCCGACACCGGCCAGCTGTTCGCGCTGCGCTCGCTCGACTACGAGGCGCTGCGCGCCTTCGACTTCCTGGTGGGCGCCACGGACCGCGGCTCGCCCGCGCTCAGCGGCCAGGCGCGGGTGCGCGTCGTGGTGCAGGACGCCAACGACAACGCGCCCTCCGTGCTCTACCCGCCGCCCAACGCCTCGGCGCCCTGCCCCGAGCTGGTGCCGCGCGCGGCCGACGCGGGCTACCTGGTCACCAAGGTGGTGGCGGTGGACGGCGACGCGGGCCAGAACGCCTGGCTGTCGTTCCAGCTGCTCAGGGCCACGGAGCCCGGGCTGTTCGGCGTGTGGGCGCACAACGGCGAGGTGCGCACCGCCAGGCCGCTGGGCGAGCGCGACGCGCCCAAGCACCGGCTGGTCGTGCTGGTCAAGGACAACGGCGAGCCGCCGCTGTCGGCCAGCGTCACGCTGCACGTGCTGCTGGTCGACGGCTTCTCGCAGCCCTACCTGCCGCCGCCCGACGCGCCGCCGCCCGCCGCGCAGGCCGACCGCCTCACCGCGTCCCTGGTGGTGGCGCTGGCCGCCGTGTCGTCGCTCTTCCTCCTGTGCGCGCTCGCCTTCGCGGCCGCGCGCCTGTGCGGGAGGCGCGGGGCCGGCGCGCGCGCGGGCTCGCTGGGGCCCGACGGCCCCTTCCCGGGCCGCCTGGTGGACGTGGGCGGCGCCGGGACGCTGTCCCACAGCTACCAGTATGAGGTGTGCCTGACGGGGGGCTCAGGGACCAACGAGTTCAAGTTCCTCAAACCCATTCTCCCCAACTTCCTTGCTCAGGGTGAGGAGAGTGTTCATGAAGCAAACCCGTTTCAGGGGTAGGTTTGAAGTCAATCAATGATAAATATTAAAGGATCGATTGAATTTACACTAGATAAATTTATCTTTTAATGATGGTTTCAATTAAGTATATTTAAGGGAATGCTTATTAAAATCTATATCCAATTCAATATAGAGTATCAAACCACCAGTCTTATAACTTTGTTGAAAGTAGTCAGGTACTTTTTTAAAATAACACTCCTAATGTAGCTTTGTGTGGGGTTAGTAAAGTTGGTGGATAGATAAGAATGTGTATGATTTAAGATGTACCATGTTTTTAAGGGTATACTGCTCAAATGAAAGTAATACACCTAATTCAGAATGACATTCAAAATTATTTCAATATTGGGTCTCCCTGGTGGTACAGGGGTTAAAGTCTCAGAATTTTCAACCTCTGGCCAGCCACTATGGCAAAAGTTTGATCCCCAGCCCTGGAGTTGACCTACTTGGCTCAGCAGTCCTCTCCTGTTTCACCAGCTGCTCCCCTCAGCAGTGTATTTCAGTAGATTCACCTGTTTTGCTCCCCACTCTGTGTCTGGTGAATCCGCTCCACCCCTTTCCTCCCCACCTCTGACCCCAGTTCTTGTGCACATAAATAATAAGTCTAAAAAAAAAACAACATTTCAGGGCCTCTGTGGTGGCGCAGGCGGTTGAATGCAGCTCTGTGAAGCTGTCCGCAGCCTCCGCAGCACTAGTTCCATCCCGGCCTGCCGTGGAGCAACCCACATGGCCCAGCAGACCTCTCCTGTCTCACCCGCTGCTCCCCTCAGCAGTGTATTTCCGTCCTTCTGCCTGTTCTGTTCCCCGCTCTGTCTCTGGTGAATCCTCTCACCCTCCCACACATCTGGCCTGTACCTCAGCTCTTGTATAAATTAAAAAAAATAAACATTTCAGTTATTGTCTATTCTTACATTGCCCAAAAATGGACAAAAATACAAGATAGCTGGGCTATCTTGCCTCTACCTTACCAGGGAGGAATTATAAAACTGCCACTTACTTTCCAGAGTACTCCTTGGTCTAAAATGTATTGTGAGGATTGAGGGGGGGAAAAATCAAATCTAAGCATTTTAAACAACCGATTATGGTTTTCCATTTGGCAAAAAACAGTTTTGCAAGGCTTCTGGAAAAAGGCAATTTGGTTTGTAAATTGTGAGATGTAAATTTTCTCAACCTGATGGGCATTTTTTGAAAATTTCATGAATATGCATGTATATATGATCTCTAAATGCTGTATGGTAAAAATAATGTCCCATTAAATCCCACTTTTTTTGCAAAATATTCTTGACATTTATATAGTGATGTCAGGGAAATGTTTTCTCTATTTCCTGTTTTGGTTCCTTCTTTAGATTTCAACCTGACATGAATCAGGATGATATATAGTCCTTCTGGGATAAGTACTGTCCATCCACATCAGCATTCGGCCTCCTGTAGGAGAGACCAATGTCATTTGTGAAAGAATAAACTAGCCAAAAGTAAAAAAGAAAAGTGGAATACAACCAAAACATCAACATTTATGACAAACGTAATAGTTCCCAATTAGCAAAGCTAATTAGGAAAAAATAAAATTTCTCCTTAAAGGAATTATCTCATACAGATAGAACTTTCCAGAAAATGACTCCTTGTAAATTTGCATTTCAATGAGTGTGAAATATAGGTTTCATTTGGAAGGTTAGCTGATACTAAATTTTAGTGTGCTTTCACCATTGCTTGCTTTACAATTTTTTTCATTCAAACGGCCATTTGATGTGCTAAAACTTATCTCTCTCTATGGAAAAAATACAAAAGTAACTCTTTTATAAGAATTTAAATAAAATCTACAAACCACCGATATTATTTAGCTATTGCTAATAGGTTAATATTTTGAAATAATATGTCATTTGAACATTTAAGGAACTAAAAATGTTCATTAAAATCTAATACCTACTTTACCAATTTATCTCTTATCAATTTATCTCATTAACAATTAATGTTAATTCACCCTCTACTTATCACCTTCAATTTATGCCCAAACAGCTCTCTGGCCATCATAAGTTTTCAAAACATTTTCTCACTTAAAAAAAATGAGACAGAGTTCAAAACTTTAAAGTATGTACTTAGATTTCGAACTTTAAGATTACTTCTATTCAAATTTCTTTAAAATAATATTTATCTTTCTTTCAATGATATTTAAAGTTCTTGCCCATATTTTATCTGGGAGGAAACTGCTATTTAATTTCCAGAATACTCCTCTTAGCTATTCTAGCTCTCTTTGAATATTCAAATATCATGCTTTAGGTCTAGCAACCAATTTTTCAAATTATTGTATGACTCCTGAAGAATAAGGCATATTTTCTCCCTTACAAGTACTCACCAACCCCGACCCTGTTTAGCTTGCAATATCACAGGAGATGAGGCACATTCACAGTGGGATGGGAGGAGACATATAATGCATCTTTTCTTACTGCCATGGAATGGTTTATCAGGTGATCATTCTATATATCAATAACTCCACTTCCATGCAGATATAACAGGCTTTTTTTTACAATAAACTTGGCATTGGGGGAGTATTTTATGATATAATGTTAAACTACCCTTTTAGTTCACCTATTTGATTTTAACTTTATACCCTAATAACATCTCTAAAGATCTAGACATGGGCCTCCCCTGGTGATGCAGTGGTTGAGCACTGAGCTGCGAAGCTGCCCGCAGCCTCTGCAGCACCGGTTAGATCCCTGGCTGCTGGCGAGTGTCCCCATGGGGCGCAGACCTCTCCTGCTGCCCGCTGCTCCCCTCAGCAGTGTACTTCGGTCCTTCTGCCTGTTCTGTTCCCCGCTCTGGCTCTGGTGAATTCTCTTACCCTCTCACGCTTCTGACTGTACCCAGTGCTTGTATAAATAAATAAATAAATAAATCTTAAAAAAAAAAAAGATCTAGACATAGATTTCTTTCTCCAATATTTAAAGCTTTAGAAACTTAATTATGTATGTCATTCTTACATTTTTATCTAATTACCTAATTAATTTTACTGAACCAACAAAACACAATTTCCTTTCAATTGCTAAGTTTTGTAGCACCTCTCTTTGCTGGTAGCTATTTCTAATAGGAGACAAACCACTTTTAAGTTTCTTGTATTAATTGAAAACTTCAATACATTTTACCTATAATGCTTATGTACCCAAGTCAAGGCTGAAAGTTGGATCTAAATTATTATAAAAAATCTGGGCCTCTCTGGTGACACAAGGGGTTAAGCACCACACTATGAAACAATCCGAAGCCTCTGCAGCACCAGTTTGAGCCCCAGCTGGCCAGGGAGAAACCCACATGGCACAGCAGACCTCTCCTGACTCGCCCGCTGCTCCCCTCAGCAGTGTACTTCGGTCAATCTGCTTGAGCTGTTCCCCACTCTGTCTCTGGTGAATCCTCTCACCCCCCACACCTCTGGCCTGTACCCCAGCTCTTGTATGCATAAATAAATAAATCTCAAAAAAAATAAATTATTTAAAAAATCATTTACTTTCCCAATTCCAGTTACATAGATAAGAGAATGGATTCTGGCATAATACTTTAACAGTTTGAATAGTAAGCTCTGCTGTGATGTGTGACAATGGGCAGGTTTGCCTCATAAAATGCACTACTAAGAGTGCCTACCTCATTAGAATTGTTTGGGGATGAGTTAATATATGTAAAATGGCATGTAGAAGCATGTATATGTTAATATTATATCTCATTAGCTTTAGGTTGACAAAAGAAACTGAAAATGAGTGGTTCACAATATTATTTCTATGTCAAAATACAGGATAAGTAGACAAAATATAGTTTTCATTCTATTTTGATCTCTACCTTGAAACAAAATAAAAGTTGGTAGCTATAGTATGACCAATTTGCTCTTCATTTTGTCCAAGATATTTGCTTTCTACTTGCATCCAAAATAATATGCTTTCATTTTAGTATGTTTTTATTATTTTTATTTCATTTAACATTGATGATATATATTGTACCTCATCTGATTTGCCTTAAATATGAAACAAGTTATAAAGTACATTAATATTATTGCCATTGCTACAACTTTTATAGGAATTCATAGAACTGGAATAAAACTATCTTAATTGAACAGTGCTTAACATGCGTTATACCCTCACTTTTCTGAATTCTATATTCAGCTTCAGCTATTTGTACAACTAAATGTATGATCTGATAATTATCTTATGTAGGTAGAAATAATCATCAGGGAGGATTACTTATCAAATTGTTATTTATTGTATGACTAGTACTAGTTTGAAACCAGGCTTGTTTCAAACACAATTTTTCCTAATACTTCC